TATCCGCCTATTCTCGGAGCGGCGGCCTCGCTGCTCCCTCGCCCCGACCCTTCTCCTGCCCTCTGAATGCCTGTCGACGGGCCTGAACCCTCCAGGGTGGGGGTCAGACCTCTCCAGGCTCAGGTTCCTGTTTTCATGTTCTGGTTCAGCCCGGTTTGATGTAATGAAGCGATCTTTGAGATGAACAGACTCAGTTTAGTCTGAGTCCGCTCTGACTCACCAGGAAACGCCGCAGGGATCCCGACTGCAGAGCTGGCGAACCCTCAGAGCGATATGAGGAAGAGACGTTAGTGCGTGTGTGACGACTGTGACGACTTCTGAAACCTCACGGAGAACTGAAACACAGACTCTCTCTCTGGTTCTCCTGTAGCTGCTGAGATGTTGAGGTCCGTCCAGGTCTTTAACTCTGCATGACTAACTAACTACCTGCTGCAGACGACCGTGGAGCTCTGAGGAGTTTTGGTTTTAGGGTTAGAGCTGCAGCTGTTCCTCCGCCGAGGTCCAAAGTTAATCACTCGTTGGTTTTAGGGACGTGTTTTGGCTGACTTATAAAACTAACTGACGCCTCAATGATGACTGAGACACCCGCCAATCAAACCTGACCATCTGGAGACGACTGTCTTCATATTAAGGGTGTCAACATTTACGATTTTTACCACACGTGTAAACAGGGCTTCTAACCGACGTGTATCCGTTTACACGCCGGAGATCTCTTTCTATCGCTGTTGCTCGATATAACCACGAGAAGGTTCTGTCTTCATTCAAACACCTCCTAATCCCGTTAAATTAAAGCTGTTTCAGTAGTTCTCAGACAAAAACGTGTTCGTATTTCCTCAGTTTTACCAGAGAAAAGTTTCCCTCATTTCCACCACCTAAGAATCATTTCGATGCAGTCCTCGGACTGGATCCTCATGAGAAGAAACGTACATCTGTGATTCACAAAATGATAAGAGACTTGGAAACAGTATCATGGGATGAAACTAACATGTCGTGGGAAAAAGGTTTGGGGGTTGAGCTTTCTGAAGATGTGCTTAAAGTGCTCCTTCACTATTAAGAGATAAACTCTTCAAACTTTATTCCAACGCAGATCCGAGACGCAGCGATGTACCTGCCACAACAGGACAGGTGTTTTGGTCATGCACATCCCTCTACGACGATTGGAGACAGATACTCCAAGTATTTTCCTAAATTTGTGGTCAGACTATAACACCTGATTATCACATATCCATTTTCGGCGTAATCCGGCTGTTAAGCCGTGACGTAGCCGCGTTCTCTTTTTCCACTTCCGGGTCCAGCGGAGTTGTTGTTACAGTGCCTCAGTGCTATGTCCCCTGCTGCTTAAACTGATCAGAGACAAAAACAGCGACTAAACTATCATTCTACAGATTTCCTCCCAACAACAAAGACAACAAAATAACTTCATCATTTCTGTATTGTATCCATAGACTGTATACAGTCTATGATCGTATCACAAACACACGGCATCACATCCATTCATTCATTGAATTCAAAGCTTCGCGCACCAAAGCCTCGGGGTGTCTTTGGTTTATCGTTTTACATTTATTGTCCACTTGATGGCGCAATAGAGCAAATGAAGCACGATAATGAAGCTTCGGCCCAGGAAGCGAGTAATTGGATGGAAAGCTTCGATGCTTCATGAGGCTTCATCTCGCCATCACTAAAATTTACGTTAATAACTCTATCCGAGTTGAAAGCTTTAAGTCCCTTTTTAACTCTGAGTGGTTCCCTTCTGAAAACGGAGGTTATTTTTAAGAGATTCACAGGTTCTGCCATTGTTGTTTTGAATGGAGAGTGAATGGAGGCTGATTCCCCATGGACCCGGAAGCCGCGCCGCTCACAAAATGACGTCACGCTTAACAGCCGGATACCTCCAGGCTGCAAAGTTTCAAGTTTGCTGGCAAATGCTCCGGCGTTTTCTTCCCTGCAGACTCATACTCTTTAATCGGAAACCAAACTCAGCCCCTTCAAAATCATCGGTCATTTTTGACAGAGGAGAAATCGTACTTTAATATCCGTGAGCTAACTGACTGCATGTCGAGAGCCATCGTTTCAGCTAATAAATTGCCGATATGTTCACTCCGTGCCTCGTCACATTTCTCCGCCTTACTGTACGTATAATCGTGTTTATAGCGGTAGCACCGATGTCAGCAGCAGTCTCTCCCTCCATCTTGTTCGGGTGTTTCCATCACAGGTAGTTTCACCTGGACCCCGTTCTGTTGTTATAAACTAACTTTCCCCGACATGACCGACACTCGACTTGATTTCTTCTGGCGGTTTGTTCAAAAAACGGTCTCACAGCGCTCCGCTTGTTGGTCGGCGCCATCACGTCCCCGAGTCAATTTGAAGTAACGCGATAGCCACTGTTCAGGCTGCGGGATTATTTTTTTAATCAACGTCAGATTGAGCTCCGTTCATCTTCACTAAGGGAACATTTTAGTGTTGAGTTAAAGTTTTTATCTGAAGCTCTCAGGCAGCAGAAGTTTGTTGGTAAGAATTGATCGAGGAGGAGGATATTGATTTCTAAACGGTTCTGATTTGTTATCCGTGTATCTGTTTACTCGTGTAGATGTTGACTCCCCTTCTTCAGCCCCCGTTTATTTACATGTTCTTAGTAACTCACACAGAGAGGTGGTGGTTAGAGAGTCTGCTGTGTGCACGGACTGAATCGCTGACTCATGCAGGAGATGGTTAAAGTTTCTGGATGCCTTATATGGACGTGGAAATGACCGTTTCTCTGGGACTCTGACTGAAGGTGAAGTGTTGGTGAAATCTGATCTTTAGAGGAGGTAAAGATGTGAAGCAGAGTTCAGCAGTAAATAATCAAACTCTGTGTTTTCTCTGATCCATGAAGATCAAACCAGCTCAGCACATTTCTCAACAGAAAACCTGAGTTCAGGCGTCTCTGCTGCTGCTTTTACATGTCAAAATCATCTGTTTGGACCATGTGGGCTCCTGTAGTCCTGTGTCTGTGTAGCAGCAGGTCTTTGAGGAATCTGGACCCTGACAAAAGGGGGTCAGAGGTTTCTGCTCATGTTTTTAGATGGTTTTAGATCCACGTCTCTCTGCGGCGCGTTTTGGCGAGCGATCCCTGTAGTCATATGACCATCAGAGGAACTCCAGTCGCCACATTTCAGCGCTCAGCGTCTGAGGTTTCTGCTGGCGTGTTTCACACTGACTCACTTCCACTTTCACTTCATCAGGACGGTCCTGCCCCCCCCCCCCCCTCTCTGTGCCATGTTAGTGCCAGATCCAGTTCTTCTCAGATTCAGGTTCTTCATCAGGAGGAAACAGAGAGACGGTAAATCTGGGATTAATCTTAATCTGGTGATGATCGTCGTCGTCGTCTGTTTGGGTCAGTTTAGGTTTTCTCCTCTATGACAAAGAAACTTATTTTTATATTAATGAAGTTTTTATGAGGACTTTGTCAGACTCACTGATACTTTAAAACTGGAGCAGTTTGATATCCTACATTATATTTGGAGTATATTATACGTATATTACATTTAATAATAATAATAAAGTGTATTTATAACGCCCTTTTACAGGAGCTCAAAGACGCTTTACAAAAAAAAAAAAACAGTTAAAAATGCAGAAAATTTGGAGTAAATTTGGGTTAAAAAAGAGAATGTAGAGAATGAGGAGGAGGGTTGTAGAGGGTCGGAGTTTTGTATTTTTATATTTGACAGAGAAAAGGCGAACACGCTGCAGCCGCTGATGATTTGATGTTTTTGCATGTTGAGATTGTAGCTGTCAGCGGTCTCCAGCTTCGGTTGTTGATTCAGTTTAAAGTTACGACATGAAGCTTTATATGGGGGGGGGGGGGGGCGGTCACATGACCTGCAGTGTTACTGTCACCACCTAGCTGTACCCCTGGTGTTCCTGTCTCTGTACTCGCTCCTGTAAAAACCATCAGTGTGTCGCTCTTCTTCTCCTCTCAGCTGGATTTTCATCATCTTACTTTTACGTTTAATTCTCATTGTTTTATTTTTTTCCTTATATTTTTGTCGTTTTATTCTCGACGTTTTATTTTCATCGTTTAATTTTCATTTTATTGTTTTTATTGTTTAATTTTTATCATTTTATTTTTATTGATTTATTTTCCTTCTTTTATTTTTGTTTTATTTTCATCGTTTTATTTTCGTCGTTTAATTTTCATTTTATTTTCATCCTATCCCTGTCTTGTTGTTTTATTTTCATTGTTTTATTTTTATTCTTTTCTTTTCATTTCATTTTCATCGTTTTATCTTCATCATTTTATTTTTATTCTTTTATTTCTGTTTTACTTTCATCGTTTAATTTTTATCATTTTATTTTTATTGATTTATTTTCTTTCTTTTATTTTCGTTTTATTTTCATTGTTTCATTTTTATTGTTTCATTTTCATCGTTTTATCTTCATTTTATTTTTATTCTTTTATTTTTGTTTTATTTCTGTTTTATTTTCATCGTTTTATTTTCATTTTATTTTTATTCTTTTCTTTCTGTTTAATTTTCATCGTTTAATTTTTATCATTTAATTTTTATTGATTTATTTTCTTTCTTTTATTTTTGTTTTATTTTCATTGTTTAAGTTTTATTGTTTCTTTTTCTTCATTTTATTTTTATTCTTTTCTTTCTGTTTAATTTTCATCGTTTCTCTCTCTTGTCATTTCCTCACACTGATCGGTGTCGATCAGCTCTTCGGTCACATGACTCTTGTTTTCTTGGTTTAAAGCTCACTCAGCTCTCACGGACGTTTGGAGACGGAAACTATGAAGTGAAAATGGTGGAAATCAGAAAAGAGCGAGCGTACGTGTTTCTTTCTCTTCACAATGAGCGTCTTGTTTTTTTTTTCTGAGTTTGGAAACAGTGGAGCCTTTCTCCCTGGAAATAAAAAAACAACCTCATGATGCGTTTGTGCCGACGGCAGATGGAAAAACACCTTTTTATTAGCGACACACAGAAACACGGTGACGGTTTAAATTAGTCAGAGTCCGTCCAGAAAACAAGGAGGAGGAGGAGGAGGAGGAGGAGGAGGAGGAGAGTTTTTATCTCCTGGTAAAGAAAACCGTCTCCAAACTTTAGACTCGAACCCTTAAAAATGTTTGAGGACCAGGAGACCGATCAGCAGAGAGGTCCAGGTGGAGTCAGAGGAAGTCTGAAGGTTCTTAGAAGTTCAGAGCAGGAACCCTCACAGTCAGGTCCTCCTCCTCCTCCTCCTCCTCCTCCTCCTCCTCACTTTAGTATTCTGGACTGGGACTCTGTGCTGCAGCTCTGCAGGACTCTGCAGTGTGATGGACGGGTCTGAGTGTAGGAGACGGTTCTTCTGTGTGACATGAACATCACGGCGTGGTGCGGCGCGGCTCAGGACGGTCAGACGACCTCAGAGTAAATCTATAAACTCGGCGTGACAGAAAGAGTCTTTTTGACCAGAACCGTCCTGAGGTTTCCACAGAGTTTCCTGTGAGAGTGGGCGTGTGTGAGCATTCCTCCTCTATCAGATGTGTGTGTGTGTGTGTGTGTGTGTGTGTGTGTGTGTGTGTGTGTGTGTGTGTGTGTGTGTGTGTGTGTGTGTGTGTGTGTGTGTGTGTGCGCGCTCAGTGGCGGTCCGGCTGCCCTTCTCTCTCCTCTCAAGTCTCAACTCCCAGGAGAGATCTCCAGCCTCTCCTCTGACATCTCTCTCTCCATCTCTCTCTGCCCTCCCCCCTCAGTGTGTGTGTGTGTGTGTGTGTGTGTGTGTGTGTGTGTGTGTGTGTGTGTGTGTGTGTGGTTTGCCCGTCTGGAGCTGTTTGATGTTTCCTCCCTGCTTCACTGAGCTCTCCCTTAAGCCTTTACCAGCTCCTCGTGTGTGTGTGTGTTTGTTTTTGTGCAAACGTTTGTGTGTCTTTTTGCACGACTCTATCCTCCTCATCTCTGTGTGTGTGTGTGTGTGTGTGTGTGTGTGTGTGTGTGTGTGTGTGTGTGTGTGACCTCACCTCTGCATTTGTTCCTGTTTTTTTGCCCAGCAGGTTGAAGAGGTGTGACTGCAGCTTTCACCTTCTTTAACTGTGTGTTTTTGTGCATCTGTGTGTACCTGTGTGTGTGTGTGTGCCTGTGTGTGTGTGTGTGTGTGCCTGTGTGTGTGTGCGTGCACAGTGATCCCTCCTCTGCTCCTGTATTGAAAACCTGAAACATTCACCTTGATGAGATTAGATTCACAGCTCTCATCCTGCTGTTGCACAAATCACTTAATATTCCACTCAGGACACACACCTTCTCCAGCTCACACACCTCTGAGTCAGCTGACGTGTGTGTGTGTGTGTGTGTGTGTGTGTGTGTGTGTGTGTGTGTGTGTGTGTGTGTGTGTGTGTGTGTGTGTGTGTGTGTGTGTGTGTCTGCTTTTGGGCAGATTTACAGCAGCAGAGGAGCAGAGGAGGTCTGTATCCATGCGTGATGAGAACAGCTGATGGAGGTTACCGTGGTGATATATTACAGAGGGGGGGTGGGGGGGCGAGGACACACAGGACGACCGCTGAGCGCTGCGTTCACTGACCGCGGGACGTTGAGGAGCTCCTCTCTGCAGACAGGAGTGATGAAACGAGGGTTCGATTCAGCGAATCTCTGATTTTGAGGTTTGTTTAAAGAGGGAGGAGCTTAAACTACGGTGGCTGACCATGATGTTCAGAGTAAATCAGGCGGTTCATTTTCACACATGATGGCGTTTTAATTCAAACTTAATCCAGTGTAATCAAATCTGACCCCGTTCTGCTAAATTAGAGAATAAAAACTCTAAAGTCGTGTTTTTGGATCAGCTGACCGGACGCTTCATTTCTCCATCACTCCAACAGTTTGTGCACAGGTCTGAACGTCAGTCTTCTCATGTTTGTGTCTCATTGGATAGTTCTCAGATAAAGCCCCGCCTCCTGGGTCGTCGGCGCCTCCTCACAGCCGAGTGTTTTAATTAGCTGCTTGATGCTAAATACAACCAACGACTTCTCTCCTCTCTGTCTACTGTTGTCACGCATTAGTACCCAGAATGCATTTGCACTTGCTCGCCATCTTTGTCTTTGTGTGTAGTGAGGTAAAGACCGGTGGATAAGACTGTGTCAGAGTCAGATCTGTCCTGGTGCTGCAAAGCATTGTGGTCTTTGGAGTGTTTTTGTGGTGACCCGTGTCCGGTCTGTTGTCTCCTGACTTTGTTGAAATAATCGACAGTTTAGATTTTTAACCTTTTGAGATGAAAAGTGACGACGGTCTTTGACCTGCTGCTTCACTCATGAGCTCTTCAGAAAAAACTCTGAAAAATGAAATATGAGTGAGAGGAAGTCAAACTCACCGACACACAGAGCTTTCTGTTTCATACAGCCGCAGCTTTAATAAAAGTCTGTGATGATTTCAGCCTGTTAGACATGACCTTAAAAAAATCAAACTTCATTAAAATATTCAAAGGTTTCTGATTTATTCTGAGCGTAAAGGTCAAAATGTTGAAATTAAAAACAGGAAGAAGGACAATCAAAACTTATTCATAAAAACACAATTATAATATTATTAATAGGACAAAAAAAATCAAATTACCAAGAAGATAAAAAAAAAATAAAAATGTTTCTGACATAAAATATTTTCACAATATAATAAAAAAAAACAATATAGCAAAAATATTTAAAAGTTTATTAAGGTTTTAATTATGAAACAGTAAAACAGGTGGTAATAAAAAAATAAAATTATGAATAACAATAATAATACAAAGAATAATACAAATAATAATAATGATTATAGCAATAATAATATGAAAAATATGAATAACAATAATAATACAAACATAATACAAAGAATAATGCAAATAATAACAATTAATAATTATACAAATAATAATAAAATGTATATGAATATAAAACTGGATGACAATAAGTAATACTAATATTAATAATTATATAGATAATAAGAATAACAAAAATAATAATGAGTATAACATTTTGGTCTCCCTTAACCACTTTAATTGAAGTAGTTTAGTCTCACCACCTCATAGTTATTCATATATTTATATATTATCATGACTTATTGTTCTCCCTAAATATGATAAAATCACGGCAGCTCTTTAGTCTCATTAAAACGACTAAATCAAAGTTGTATTCTTTAACCTCCTCATAGTCATGATGACTTTTATAGTTATATATAATAATGACTCAGACATGATATTATCATGACCTCTCTCATCTCTGAAGGTCAAATCTTCTCTCATGTTGTCGGTTTTTTCAGACCGCCTCACATCGAACCTCTGCTGTGAGTCAGACTTAGAGGAAGCGAGGAGGTCAAAGGTCAACGCTACATCCTGGCTGAAGGAATGTGACTTTACTGGCCCTGATGTGCAGATGACCTTTGACCTCTGCCGTGAAGAGTAAACAGAGGGGCGTGGTCTGTGGAGCTGTCAGTTAGCCCTGAAGCTAAAGGAGATGAGAGGGGTTATCAACGAGCGAGTGAGGGTCCTGACTCCTGCGCACACACACACACACACACACACACACACACGCACACACACACACACACACACACACACACACAGTGAAACCTGAAGCTCTGACTCCGGTCATATCAGGCCATCATGACTCTCCTCCTGATGCTGTTCACTCGTCCATTTTCACTTTGTCCACACGTCTCTAACTTCCTCTGTGTGTGTGTGTGTGTGTGTGTGTGTGTGTGTGTGTGTGTGTGTGTGTGTGTGTGTTCAGTTTAGCTTGGCAGCCGCTCTGTGCTTTGGGAACGCCACAAAATAAACAGTTAGAGTAACATGAACGTAGCCTTGTTGCTCCCCGCCCACCAGAAAGTCCGACTGCAGCTGCTGTGTGAAACTCAGTGATGCTGAGAGACGCTGAAGGAGAGCGTCTCTGCTTCAAGTCTGAGTGTGTGGAGGAATGAAAGTGAGTGGGAAATTTGTCTGAGTCTCTAGTTTGTTTTTAACGGAGTTTTCAGTGTTTAGTAGATCCTCTCAGAGTTCATGTTTGTGTCTCTAAGAGACTCAGACTGTTATCTTCAGTCTCTGACAAAACTACAGACAGGATCTTGAAGGAGACGCAGGAACCTTTGAATCCAACACTGAAAAGGCACCAAACCCCAGAACAAAAACAGCCATTTTTACCTTTAAAAATCCAGTTTTCCCCTCAGCTCCTCCCTCTCTTAAGCCCCGCCCACAAACAGACGCTCCTGCTCGCTCGTACCGTTCCAGTTAAATTCAGATATAATGCAGATAAATCCTTCAGATCATTACAAATGGGGCCCAGTCAAGGTGAAAGTCAAAAGCATTGGTGCTACTGTAGATGCCAACAGACTACCAGCAAACACAATGTTTGCAGGACTTCTACAACGAGGATAAAGTGACATAGTCCAGGACCCGAGGGAGGACAGTTTAGCGATGGCGCTACAACACGCTACAGCAGGTCCGTTTGACAAGAAACACTTCTGTTACAGACACTTGTCTTACTTTGTTAAAGCGGTTTACCTGTCCAGCAGAAAGGTTACAGGGTCACCAAGATCCCCAAGCGTCCCCCATGGTTTATGTTGACCCGGCTTTTTAGCTCTTGTCCGGTCTACCTCCGTTTTAAGCGCCCGTTATTCCTCCAGAGTCTCCGGTATTTACTTTGTTTTCTTGCTTGTGTCGGCAGTCGTGGCCAAAGGAGGATTCAGACAATTTTCCGAACTTTCTGGTTGGTTTCTACTGTCCGATATTGTAGCACGCTAACTTTGTTTGGGCTCCTGAACGACACGGGGGAGCAGCATTTTCTTGTTGACTGTTTTCTTGTTGCCTGTTTTTTGTTGACTGTTTTGGTGTTGACCGTTTTCCTGTTGACCGGTTTGGTGTTGACTGTTTTGGTGTTGACTGTTTATGGTTGACTGTTTTCTTGTTGACTGATTATAGTTGACGTTTTCTTGCTGACTGTTTTCTTGTTGACTGTTTTCTTGTTGACTGTTTTGGTGTTGACTGTTTATGGTTGACTGTTTTCTTGTTGACTGATTATAGTTGACGTTTTCTTGCTGACTGTTTTCTTGTTGACTGTTTTCTTGCTGACTGTTTTCTTGTTGACTGTTTTCTTGTTGACTGTTTTTTGTTGACTGTTTTGGTGTTGACTGTTTATGGTTGACTGTTTTCTTGTTGACTGTTTTCTTGCTGACTGTTTTCTTGTTGACTGTTTATGGTTGACTGTTTTTTGCTGACTGTTTTCTTGTTGACTGATTATGGTTGAGTGTTTTCTTGCTTGTGTCGGCAGTCGTGGCCA